AAAGCGGCAAACAACACGGAACGGAACAAGCGGCGATAACACAAGTGGCGTCGTGGGTATCGGCAATAGCCAAGACGGGAGCAGAATTGATTCCGGAAGGATTGATCCCGAAACGCGGCTGGAAATGGTTAAGTCGCGGAACGGCGGCGGCGAGCGCCGAAACGCGGCTGAAAATGGTTAAGTCGTGAGCAGTGGTGCCCACTGCTTACAGACCCCGACTGGGTTCGCCAGGCGCGAAACGCGGTCAAATTCAAACGCATGGAGGGCACCACCCCTCAACACTTCGACGCTTTCGCTTCCTCCATCCGCGATTACCAGCACCTCCTCTCGAGCTCCAGTGATCCCCTCTCCGAGCTGGACGTCAAGCGCTTTCTCAAGGAAGGCCTGAGTTCTCACATGCTTGTCCTCGACGTCGAAAATGCCTTGGAGCAGAAAGTGTTGACCTTGTACACCATCTCTGTCGCCGACCTCATTGCCCTTATGTCCAAGAGGGTTACTGTGTGTGCTGCCCAGCTCGCGGCTTTCCAGTCCCACCAGGCTGCGTCTCGACCGTTCCCCCGACCTGCGCCAGCCCAAGCCTCTCGCCCAAACCAAGCTCGACCGGCCCAGACTCCCATCAAAGCGATCTCTGCTGCCCCTGCCCCCGTTGCCCCTGCAGTCCCCCCCACAGCGGCTGAAGCGCAGGCTTGGCTCGACAACACCCTTCGTCTCCCGCCTGGTTTGGAGGGAGCGAGAGCCCGTGAATACCTTCGGCAGCGAGGCCTCTGTTTCCGCTGCCGCCAGCAAGGCCACATATCTCTCGGCTGCCCAACTTTCCAAGCCCCAGTCGCGTCGCTGGCCTCTATGCCTCCCCAGACCCCAGCCCAGCCGTCTCCTCTTGCTCCCCCTGGCCCCACCCAAGAGTCAGTCCCTCTCCTCTACGTCCAAGCCCGCCTCAGTGCTGATGGTCCTTCATACCAGACGCTAGTAGACTAAGGTGCCGCCGTCAATGTGGTGGACAAGGAGGTGGTGGAGGAGCTTGGTTTGAAGACGAAGGGAATGTTGCCTATAGTGACAAGGATGGCGGATGAGTCGATTGGGCCTAAGATCACCAAGAAAATTTTTATGGATATACATGTTGGAAACACTGTCTACCGCGACTCGCCCTTTGCGGTCATGCCACTGGGCCCAGCCAATCGAATGATCCTTGGTCTCCCTTTCCATCTACAGCATCGACTACTGGCAGGCGCGTCTGGGTTGGAAGTGTTGTTGAAAGAGGGGGTGGCGACGAGACGAGAAGAGAAAGATGGAGAGGTGGTGTTGGGATCAGGCACTACGCGAATCAGTGGGATGTCCTTGGAGTTGGCGGCGGAGATGGTGACCCAGCGCAAAGAACT